GCCGGAGCGTTCGCCGCGTGGTTTCGCTCCTTTATTGGGCTGGGGTTTCCGCCTCGTGACCCACTTCTGTCGGTCGCATTCCCCCTTCTTCGATAGATTTGGATGTTTCCGATGCCATCGATTCAGTTGAGTCGGAAAGCCTTCTTATATTGCGCCTTCGCTTTTTTTGGTCTCTGCGCTAGGAATGACGGTTTTTGTCATTCTTTAAACGCATGATTTGTTCGTCGTTCTCATCTAAAGACGATTCTCTATAGGATATTCGCGTGTCGCTTCGCTTACGCTTTTCTCTTAAGATTACGTTAGTCTTGATATTGTCGATGATATGCCGCATCCCCCTTGAAATGTTGGTTATGTCAGTTATTTTAGGAAGTTCTTTGCTGATTGAAGCTTCCGGTGTGACATTCTCATCGTTTTGACGTGGGTTGACGTTTTCTTTGCGCGATGCTTCTTCTTTGCTCGTCTCCACGTATTCCTCCAACGATGGTGTATTTTGATCTGTTTGGGTGTTTCGCGCTGGGCACGTTGTGACATTTGTGGCCCAATCCGCGTAGATTGTACGTTTGGCTTTGCCGCTTGTTATTTTGTACACGAGAGTAAATGGTTTTATCTTTCGTTCTAATTTTCGCCCGAATCTTTGGACACTCAAGCTTACGATGAGTGAGACTGAAACGGTACGTTGTTTTGCGCGGAGTAACTCGTTGGAGTCAGGAGTTCGGTCGGTTGGGGGCACGCAGAAGAATGCTCGGATGAAATAAATAAAATGAAGTAATAAAACAAGATTTATTTCTTAACTGATGAAGTCTATACTTTACAAATCCGTGTGGATACAGAGCGTTTTAATGTGTTGGTTTGAACGCGGTTTATAAATTATCTCGGCGGTGATGAATAATTCTGACGAGAAAGCGTCAGCGCAAGCGCGGGTGTTGCAGTGGCCCCTAGGCGACTGCGAGCGCGTGGGTCGATGCGTTCGAGCGACGGCAAGGATCGATCGACTGATCGATATGTTCGGCCGCGTGCGCGGTGGTGTCGATGTTCGCCGCTGGTTCGATTAGTTCGCGATTGCCTGCCGGATTTGAGGACCTGATTTTAAAAGGATGAAGACGGGAGCGAGGACGCGCGTATTGCCCGCGTCTCGAAATGGCTGGTGTTCTAACGTGGAGCCAAGTATTCCCGGTGGTATACGGGTAGGCCCGTATGTAAGAATGAAGCCGAGTGCGCTCGGTAATATACGAGTGTGCTCGTATTGAGGTAACGAGACCGAGTATGCTCGGTTATTATACGAGTGCGCTCGTATGCGAGGAACCGAAACCGAGTATGCTCGGTAATATACGAGCATGCTCGTATGCGAGGAAACGAAACCGAGTATTCTCGGTAACGTGCGAGTATGCTCGCACGGAGGAACGGAGAACGGTTCCTGGCGGCCGAGTATGCTCGGCAGGAATACGAGTATTCTCGTATCGCGGTCTAGAGCCGAGTATGCTCGGCGAGGATACGGGTGTGCCCGTAACGTGAAAGCGGTTCCTGGGGCCGAGTATGCTCGGTTGGTGCACGAGTATGCTCGTGCTCGTGAGGCTGCTGGACATAGACTTCGAGTATTCTCGAAGGATTACGAGTGCTCTCGCAACAGGACGTTCACTGGCGAGCAGTGAACGGGATCTGGTAGTAAAAGCGTACAGCCGGGCCTCTTTTATACCCGGCTGCCGCCCGACTGGCGAAGGATCGGCAAGCATCGGCGGTTTAGCCGGCGGACCCCCACCTGGTAAATTTCGAAAACGGTCGGGTGTGGAGGGCCGTCCGGCGATTGACCGTCGGTGTTTATATGAAAAGTTTATCGGCGCGCGATGCGCCCTTTTTGGCTACGGACGATGTTCGGTCCGTAGCCGTGACGATGCATGCTGCATCGTTACAAGACTTTGGTTTGCTCGTCATCTCCGCTCAAGATGAATTTGTCCATTATTGTTTCAGGATTTCGCGTAGCCATGTTGACCTTGTTTAGGATTCCGAGAGCCTCTTCATCTCTGTTCGGGCACGGGTAGGTGTTCGCACAATTTGGCGGTGATCACGCTGCGTCTAACCGGCGAATATATTGGACACACATAAGGCCAATCACAAATTCGTTTACAAACGTTTCGCAGCCAAGTGATCAAGCGCGCGGTCGTTACGTGGCTTTAGCAGGGGAAGGCCACGATTTCGAGCCTGACTACTATTCATTTAAAAGGCTTCTAGTCAAGTCGTTTTCAGAACTCGGGCCGAATTAGCAAAGGTTCCCATTTGAGTATTCCGAGATTCATATTGTTCAAATCTTGTCTATTCCGTCGGTTCTGCGTGTAAAGTGTGTGCGCGAATAAAACAGCTAAGCCAGTCCAGTGGAATTTCTATTTTTTTAACACCATTCCCAGAAACCCGCTCCGGCAAAACAAAAAATAAGAAATGTTTTGATAATATCGAAGGTGTTGCGACATTTTCTGGTCCTTCGAGCTGGATTGCGGGCGGATTACACAAGGACAAATTAGTGAAACAAGTACAATTAACACCTCGATATTAATCGCAAGTCGCTCTAATAATTCCAGGGCGTAATTTCAGTGCCACTATTTGTGCGTGCGTGATTAAGTGAAATTCCTTTCGCCACGCGTCAAACATTGATTCGAGAGTGGATCCAGCTCGTTGTCTTGGGATAGCGCTTTCTTTGTTTTCTAACATTAACACGGCCTTGAGCTGTGTTTACATCGGGCCGACGCACATCAGCCGTCAATAAAACGGTGCTCGCCGATTGCGCGATCCTCTCCTCTTGCGCGCGCGCAAAACGGAGTCCGGCAATTCACGCGTGTGAATGTACCGGGTGTACATTGCTGCTCCTGATTATTCTACCACTTATCGACTCTCACGCAGTTAGGTACAATGTCGTCGCTCGACGAACTGCTCACCAGGCAAGACGCCAACATCGTGCAACTTTCCCGTGCCCTGCCTAATTTGAAAAAACTCGGTGTGAACAATTTCACGATTTCCAAGGTGAAGAATCGGCTTGCTGCTTTGGAGAAGATGTAGGAGAAGCTGCGGGACACCAACTTCCAGCTACTCTATCTTGACTCCGAGGAGGATAAGGGGCAGCTCGAATCTTCACGCGCAATGTTTTCTTCCGAGCGGAAGAAACATACCTCGAGGCTTCCGATTACATGACCGAGGCTATCGGATCCCTGGACCATGCAGTTTCTTCTCGGACCATCTCCGGAGACGCTAGTGCAATTAATTCGACCATAGCGAATATCTCCGCGACTAGACTCCGCAGAATCAAACTTCCCGAATTTTCCGGCGATCGACTAGACTGGGAGCATTTTTGCGACATGTTTGAATCGTTGGTTATAAATGACCTGTCATTAATTAATGTCACGCGATTACATCATTTAAAGGCGAGTCTCAAAGGCAATGCTGCTCTTTTATTGCGCCATTTCAAAATAACCGAGAGTAACTTCGAGTCTGCGTGGAAGGCATTAACCGATGAATTTGCGAATACGCGTTTGATAATCAATTTTCACACTTACACGCGATCGCGGAATTGCCAATTCTCAAGAACGAGACGGCTAGCGCGCTTCGCAATTTACGCGACGTGGTGAATTCTCGTCAAGAAATTGCCTACTCGAACACGTCAAGAGTGGCAGATGGAGTTAGGAGACACGTATGAACCTCCCACTTACGACGCGTTCTCGAAATTCATATCAAGGCGAATACGAGGACTCGATAACGAGAGCCCTCTTGGCGCGAGCGAAAGCGTAGCCGTGAAATCGCGTAGTTTGAATGCGAGAGTTCATACTTCTAATAAACAGCTGATCGATGAATCACGAAAATGCCCTGCTTGTTCTGAGAGCCATTTGCTCTTCCGGTGTAAACAATTCTTTTTCTTGAATGCGGATCAGCGTTTCGCTCTCGTCAAGAAGTTAAAATGTTGCGTCAATTGTTTGCGTCTTGGTCATGCGACCACTGCTTGTACAAATTCGCGCAAATGTTATAAATGTGATAAGCCACACCATACGTCTTTGCACCGCGATAATAAGCATTTCGAAACCAATGCAAATTCCGAGGACAATTCCGCAAATACTGCCAATGTAAACAAGCCAATTGCTGGCCCATCAGTTCTCACTGCGTCGACAGGAGCGCCGAGGAATTATGCCACGGTATTACTCGCCACCGCCTGGGTGAAATTGCGTACCCCCGACGACCGAACGGTACGAGTGCGTGCTCTGCTCGATCAGGGATCAGGGATCAACGCATTCGTTCATCTCGGAAACATTAGCCAAAATCTCCGCACGTCCCGTCAACGTACGACACTGCCTGTGACCTGCTTCGGAGAGCAATATTCGGGCACCGCAAAATCCATGGTCAACCTCGCTCTCGAGTCGCGTAAATCAAATGACCCATCGCTTCCGGTGACAGCCTACGTATTCAGTAAGATCACCTCATACGGTACTTCTAAGAGAAGCCCCGTCTCGAAGTTGCCACATTTACGCGGTCTCGACCTCGCCGATCCCGATCCCGCCGATCGTTCGTCGATTCAACTTCTCATTGGAGCGGACTTATACGGAGCTGTATTATTAGAAGGGCTCCGCAAAGGTCCACTGGAAAGTCTTACTGCGCAATGCACAATTTTCAGTTAGATTGTTACCGAGACAGACGCACAAGCGTCAGTTTGTGCTGCCTCCGTAAACAGCATGTCTGTGGATCTTGATAAACTCCTCGTGCGTTTTTGGGAAACAGAAGAGGTTCCCACGAAATCAATTCTCACGGCCGATGAAGAAAGCTGCGAAACGCATTTTTGCACGACACACAGGGGGGAGAGTGGACGCTATATCGTTTGCCTTCCGTTTAAGCAGTTGCCTCCGCCGATCGGAGAATCATTGCCAATCGCTTCGTGCTTTTACGGCAAACTTGAAAGACAACTTTCTCGCAAACCGCATCTCGCCCTTGCATACAACTCGTTCCTCCAAGAATATCGAGATTTAGGCCACATGGAGCTCATCTCCGCGACGGAACCATCATGCTCCTCCGTTGTCTACCTTCCGCATCACCCGGTAAGGAAGGAGGACGGCCTGACGACTAAGATCAGGGTCGTATTTAATGCTTCAGGCAATACGTCAAACCAAACGTCGCTGAACGACCACTTGTTCGTTGGACCCAAACTCCAGACCAATTTACCGACCATCTTGATGAGATGGCGGCAACATAAATTTGTCTACATTTTGGACATCGCGAAGATGTTTCGCCAAATAATCATGCACCCCGCGGACAGGGATTATCAACGAATACTCTGGAGATCTTCTCCGCAATCTGCAATTCAGTCGTACCGTTTACGTACGATTACGTACGGTATCGCTCCAGCGCCCTATCTCGCGATAAGGGTACTTCATCAACTGGCCAGGGATGAGGGTGATCGTTTTCCTCTCGCACGTTCGATTCTGCTCAACGAGACTTATGTTGATGACATACTCTTTGGCGCGAACGATATAGAAACCGCGAATGCTACGCGAGTTCAATTGATCGACTTGCTCGCGGCGGGCGGTTTCCGTCTTCGGAAGTGGGCCGCTAACTACAACGCAATGCTTGAAGACGTACCACAGAAGGATCAAGCTATGGCAAGCGAGTACCCGCTAGAAGAGAAACCCAGCATCAAGGTTCTCGGCATTTCGTGGTCCCCGCGGAACGACTCGTTTAAATTCAAGGTCTCGCTCCCGCCCTCTGCGGCTTCGACTAAACGGTCCGTGCTTTCTACAGTCGCACGAGTCTTCGATCCTCTAGGGTAGGCTACGCCTGTAGTCATCGTCGCAAAAATACTGATGCAGGAGCTATGGATACGGAAATGTGACTGGGACGACCATCTTCCCGAAAACCTCAACGAAAGGTGGGAGAATTATTGTAGATCTCTCGCGATTCTTGCCGAAATCCGAATTCCTCGCTGGATTGGACAATCCACACAAGTGACGAGTACAGAGCTACATGGCTTTTCCGACGCTTCACTCAAGGCCATGGGAGCTGTCGCTTAAATGCGAATTACTTACTTTAACGCCGACGTTAAGGTAGTCCTCATTGCGGCGAAATCAAAGGTAGCGCCTGTTAAAATCTTTAGCATCCCGAGATTGGAGTTGAACGCGGCCGTGCTTCTCGTCAGGCTCCTCCGTTACGTTACCAAGACTATGCCACTAATCAACGTTCCGACCCATTGTTGGACAGACTCCACTATCGTTCTCGAGTAGCTGAAGAAACACCCAGCCACGTGGACGACATTTGTGGCCAATCGGGTTGTGGAAATTCAAACCGCGCTCCCCGCGGCGGAATGGAAGCACGTACCGACAAACTTAAATCCCGCAGACATTGCGTCACGCGGCATCGCTCCCAATGAGCTTCCATCTTTCGATAAGTGGTGGACCGGCTCCACCTGGCTGCGAGAATCACCTACGTCATGGCCGATCTCAGCATGTCGTATCCATGAAGAGATGGGCGAGCTGGATCGCAAAATAGCGGCCGAACTTCGCAAAGCTGTTGTGACGCACGCCGAAGTCACGCCGAAGTCACGCCGAATCTACTCGCGCTTAACGATCTCCCTAATAGAATGTCATTGTGGACTCGCTTACTACGAGTTACGGCGTATGTGCTCCGATTCATTGCCCGCGTGCGGATAAGATCAATATTGACAAAGGGGATTAGTTCCCGCCTTACGGCCACCGAAATTAACGCTGCGAAAGACTTTTGATGTAAATAGGCTCAGGCCGATTCATTTGCTTCCGAAATAAACGCGCTCGAACAAGGCCAACCGATTTCGTCGAGGAATCCACTGCTCAAATTCACGCCATTTCTTGATAACAAGGGTACGTTACGCCTAGGCGGGCGGCTGGAAAACTCGTTTCTTGCTTTCACAGAGAAGCACCCAGTAATTCTACCCCGACACCGAATCAGTGTATTGATTATCAGTCACGCTCACGCGCAAACACTACACGGAGGCCCTCAATTGACTCTCTGCGTCATTCGACAGATGTATTGGATCGTCGGTGCGAGGAACCTCGTGAAATCGATGATACACCGTTGCGTTCCATGCGTTCGTCAGCGAGCAGTTATCCCGATCCAACTGATGGGCAACCTTCCGGCGTTTCGTATCTCGCCATCACGTCCGTTTTTGCATACGGGTGTCGATTATGCTGGCCCGTTTGCCATTATTATGCGCAAAAGTCGAGGGCAGAAGGCCTACAAGGCTTACATCGCCGTTTTTGTTTGCCTCTCGACACGCGCTGTTCATTCGGAATTAGTTATCGATCTGTCGACGGAATCATTTCTCGCCGTCTTTAAGCGATTCGCCTCTTGTCGTGGCATTCCGAGCGACCTCTACTCCAATAATGGAACCAATTTTCAAGGAGCAGAGAAAGAATTATCGACGACATTTTGCCGTATCGTCAACAGTTCAGATTTGGGAACGCAACTAGCCACCGATGGCACTTCGTGGCACTTCATTCCCCTCGCGGCGCCTCACTTCGGTGATATTTGGGAGGCGGGCGTAAAGAGTATGAAACATCACCTACGTCGGGTTGTCGGTAATCATACACTTTTGTCGGACGAGTTCGCGACGCTTCTCTGCCAAATAGAGGTATGTCTCAACTCGAGACCCATTTCCGCCCTCACGGCTGATCCAGAAAACTTCGCGACGTTGACCCCTGGACACTTCCTAATTGGAGCTTTATTGGCAGCCGTTCCCGAGGAGTCAGTGCTCGAGCTCCAGGAGAATCGATGGTCGAGATATCAACGGGTACGAGCGATGCTCGAGCACTTCTGGCAGAGTTGGTCCCGCGATTATCTACACACTCTTCAGCAACGGACAAAATGGACTCGAGCGCACCTTGAAATTAAATCCGGAGAGCTTGTTCTCTTACGCAACAATTTGCTACCGCCGTCGAAATGGAGCCTAGATAGAGTTGTCGCGGCTGATCCAGGTGGTGACGGACATGTGCGCGTGAGGAACAAGGACTTGGTATTCATGCGACCTATCGCACAGGTCTGTCGTCTCCCTGTAGACTGTGACTCCGCGTGAACCGTTGGTAATGCGAAGCTCCGTTCCATATGAACCATTATTATAATCTCGCTTCCTGGAACTTCTGCTTATGCTGTGTCTACTCTCCGATACCTATCGTACCGTTCTGGATACGAGGCGGGCGGTATGTTCGGGCACGGGTAGGTGTTTGCACAATTTGACAGTGATCACGCTACGTCTAACCGGCGAGTATATTGGACACACATAAGGCCAATCACAAATTCGTTTACAAACGTTTGTAACAGTACGCACTGTTACTAAACGCCACGCGGGCGTCACGTGTACATTCCCCATTACGGGCCGCATTCCGATCCCCCAACTCAAGGGTAGTAGCTTGAGAAGGGGTACCTGCCGGGTAGGGTAGCACCCCAAGTGGGGGTAGCGCGATCGGTATAAAAGCTGGCTGGCGGAGCAGACCGACACCATTCCCCCGAGTACGACTCGGACAAGCCTCAGGGCGCACTCTGAAGCTCTGGTCGTACTCGCTCCCATCCCTTCCGTCGTTCTAGGAGCAGGGCGTTCTCTGCTTCGGTCGGGTGTTTCCGGCGTTCGACTTCCTATATCCCTCGCACGAGAAAAGATTCTCTCTGTCTTCGGACTACAGACGCACCGACAACCGTCGACGACTTAGCAAGGCTCGGATACACGCGGTATCACTTATTTTTTAATACTTTGACTCCGTACCGTACAAACCGACCGACTTAGGATTAATCATATTCATAGTTGTTTAATTGCGGCCAAAGGCGCGACACGTTTAAGAAATTACGCAGTTTACTCATTATCCGTTTATTTCCGATATTTGTATCCGTTTATACCGACGAAATATTAAATAGTTTAACCGATAGGGAAATACTTATGTACTCATTGTTAAATGTTTTCTTTTATAATTATATCGTTAATCCAAAACGCTCTCTTGAATAAATATTTATTTTGCTTTTAATTTGTTTTGATTAATTTGGAGTCTTCCGAAAAACCACACGAACGAATTCTGGCGAACCGGCGAGTTATTCCGCGTCGTAAGAATCCGCTTTGCTACCTACGCACCGTCGAAATTCCGCATCGTTACGCACCGCCCGTGAGGCGTAAAAATACGCACCGTTACATGGCGCCCAAACAGGGACCGGTTTAAAGTTAAAACAAGACTCCAGATTTAGAGACAAATGAGTACATAGGTTAATTATTTACTTAAAGACCAAGTTGTTGAGATATTAGAATCTTATAACATTGATAGTACCGGGACTTTAGAAAACGACTTCGGCTATTTATTTCACAAAGGCCTGATCTGTTTCAATCTTTCGCGGGTAACCTGGACAATATGCCGAAGAGCAATTATTCGGCCAAAGTCGACGACGCGCCAGCGGAGGAATTGGTTGTCTCACCGGTATTAAGTATTATAGAGCGGGCAAAGCTCCTAAACAAAATGAGGAAATGGGGCCTCCATTTTGATGGCAAGGATCCGTTCTTCTTCTTGGAACGGGTAGAGGAGCTCGGCCAGGAATATGGCTTCACAAACAAGCAGCTACTCCTCGGCCTACCGGAAGCATTAAAAGGCAATGCCTTTTATGGTTTAGAAACCATAGGGCCTCTTGGAATTCATGGTACGACTTTTGTCTGGACTTTAAAGCGTTCTATCTGCCACCAGGATACCCGCGACAACTCAGACGAGAGATACAAGGCAGGCAGCAGCAACCAAGCGAGCCATTCGACGCTTTTGCCATAGCATTACAGACGTTAATGCGACGAGCCGGAGGGTACTCGGAACAAGAGAAATTAGAGCAAATCTACGAGAATATAAACTTGGATCTCCAATTATATATTCCACTTGAGAATATACGCACGCTGAGCGAACTGCACGCAAAGGTCGTGAATCTAAAAAAGATTCAGCAACGCCAAAAAGAGCGATGACCAAGGTTCCCCGAGAAAAACAACCGAAACTCAGTCGCCCCAGCTACATATAACAAAGATGAATGCTGCTGGCGATGTAAGCAGCGAGGACACACCCGCTGGAACTGCAAACATACGCCTAAGAAATTTTGCTCCCAATGCGAGAAAGATGGAGTCCTGACTAAAGATTGTCATTCTCTAAAGGGAAACGAAACGCGGGTCGGGGGAAAAGCGGCGTACGCCCGGCCTGAATCAAAATAAAGTACACGCCGAGACCGCACGTCCTTCTGAAGATCGAAGGAAAATCCGTTTGGGCTCTGCTTGACTCTGGATCTGAAGCCTCACTGCTCAATAGCGAGACCGCTCAATTAATAAAAAGAAAGCCGACCACGACGAGCGAAATAATACATTTAGCAGATGGTTCAGAAGTAACCATTAACCAGACTGTCCATTTATCGTTGATAATACCAAGAAAGACAGTTCGTCATAAATTTGCGGTACTACCATCACTAAGTACGCCCATTCTCATTGGGACAGATCTTTGGGCTAAATTGCAAATTAATTTACCGCCCCTCCGGCTCAACCGCAATATAAGCACTCGACTATCGGCTTTGTTACCACCGCTCCGGCTCTTGATAAGGCAAAAGAACCATACCGGCTAAAAGAATTTTTAGATAAAGAGTTACCGAAATTCGAAAGGATTAGAGGCCCCACAGACCTAATCGAACATAATATTCGATTAAAACCAGGACCTCCAATAAAGCAATGATATCGGCCACGAAATCCGGCCATGCAGAAAATTATTGACGATAAAATCTAGAAAATGGAAAGCCAAGGCGTAAT